TCGGTCGACATACGGGCGTAGGTAGAACTGGCCTTATAGGCAGTTTCAAACTCAGCCGCAGTGTTTGGTATCTTTTCTTCAAACCCAGGTCGGATCTGCCGCTCGGTATGGACTGAAACCGAAGTGAGGAAGTCGGATATGTTGGCTCCTGGAGTGCATTCAAAGCCCATGTCTTCAAAATATTGCTTAGCCTCGGATGTGGGCCCATAGTAGATTTCTCTGCCTTCGGCAAGAACAAGAACCTTGTCGAAGAGATCGTAGATGCCATTGCCAGCTTGATACAGAGTCGAAACAATCGACTTTTGCTCTTCGTCTGCCATCTTTCGTAGGACACGAACAAAGTCCAACGCATTACTGGCATCCAAGCCTCTCGTCGAGTTGTCCCAACATTGCACAGCAGCCTATTCTCTCACGTTAGCAGTGTCAAAGGCGAAATCAAGCTGAGGTAAACTTACCTGCGTTGCCATGACTTCAGCGATTGAAACCCTCTTCCTCTCACCTCCTGAAACGCCCCGAATCACCTCATCACCAACCATGGTATCCTTTGTGTGGCCGATCGCTAGGGACTCGAGAATCGCATTCGTCTTGTGAGAGACCCATTCATCTCCGTTGGAAAGATGATCTGGTCTTGTTGCGGGAAGCTTCGTTGCGTTGGCAAAATCGAGGGTCTGTTTGACCTCAAGAGTTGGGAAATGCAGATCCTCTAAGAAGCAGTTAACTTCGCTGAACTTCAACTCCCACACACCAGTAAACTTGCCTTCGGTATTCATGACGATTTGATTCCGAAACTGCTTGGCCCCCTTATGGCCAAGGTCGCCATATCTAACATCTCCGCTAACGTGGTGGAACTCTTCTCGTTGGTTGGAGATGATCTTGAGGAGTGAGGTGCAGCCAGAACCAGGTCGTCCGAGAACCAAGAGCTAAACTTGTGTAAGTAGAGTGTTGGAAAGACGAAGGGTGACAGACGTCATGTCTTTCAACGTACCATTTCGCCTGGACAAACTTGACCTGAGATGTTGTGAAGAATATTCTGTCATTTTAGTTAGTTATTAATCTCGTCAACATGCGGAATTTCATCCTACCTTCTGAGACTTCTTACTCTTGCCAAACGGAACCAAGTCGGCAAGAACAGACAGGCAGGTAGAGCCAAAGTCTTCGCCCATACCATGAACCCGAATGCGAACATCTTGAAAGGTAACCGTCAGTCCTGTGGGCGGATTCGATGCCCCACTCAAGCTGGGCTCGCCTTGGACCGTCTGGTCGCTGTCATATGCTGGAAGGGAAGTCATCGTGCACCGACCGGAATTAAGAACATAGGTGAAGGCAAATCACGATGAGCTGGGGATGGACAAGGCGCACTTTGAGTTTGAAATTTTACCTATATACTATAGAGATAATATGCTGATGAATCAACTTGACAATCAGCCTCCACCCGGGATTTGGCGGTGATTCCCATACTCCCTAGTTGGTGATGTTGTCAGGTCCGGTGGTGGGTCTTTTTGGTACATTCGGTGGCGGAATTACGGTGTTTCGGATTTACGGAATTACAGTCTGCCGCTGCGCCGACTCCTTTTCACATTCCATCTCCCACCTTCGACGACCACACTCCGAATTCAGACCATTTCCCATCGGATTTGAGGATTTATCTCTACGGATCTTTTCAATCGAGCCTAAATTCCTTCTTGAATCTGCTTCCGGTTGATTGAGGCCGCAGGGCTTACGTCTTCGGAGAACTCGGGATGCGATCCACAGTGAAGATCCCTAAGGCGTGCGAGCCGTGCCGTCGGCGCAAGATCAAATGCTCGGGTGACAAGCCCTGTCAGCAATGTGGGAACAAGCCTTCAGACTGCATATATCGCCTCAAGCCACGCATCAGGCTCTCTGCGCGGCACAGCAGGGCGGCGAAGGATGCCGGAGCCGGGGACGGCGTGTCGGCAGCAACCCCGGATCATGGCCCGTGTGACGAAGCCGTGTCCCGGCGTCTGGCGGAAGACCACCAGCAGCAGGTGGCGCAGACAGAGGTCTATCACAGCGTTGCTGCTGCACATCATGCTCCGAAGTCGACTGATAGCTCCCGGCTTTACTATGGCCCTTCGTCGAACTCGGCATTTCTGCAGCAGATCCATCGTGGACTTCTTTCAGGGCAGTATGGGCAGAATCATGGTCGGGACGTGCAGGAGGGGGGCCCGGGGTTGGACATGTTCATGCAGCGAAACATCTTCTTCGGCATGCCGCTCAAGGTGAATGTGGAGCCTACGCAGCCCGTCAGCTGCCCCATCCCGATAGAGCAAGCAAGGGACTTCATGCAGCAGTTCAAGATAACGCATCTATCGACACTGCCCTTCTTCACGGATTCACAGCTGGAAGAGACACTCAGCAGTCTGTACGAGCCAGACCACGAGTCAGATGTTCAGCCCCAGCGAAAGGCGGTGTTGCTCGCAGCTCTTGCCCTTGGAGCGTTAGGCACACCGCAGACCGACGTCGCGGAATCACTCTTCATTCATGCCAAGAAAGAGGCCGTCATCTACGAAGACTCGGTCACACTGCCTATGATTCAGTATTCCATGCTTTTGGCTCACTACCAACTCAACATGGGACGGCCTAACTCAGCCTATCTCCACATGGGAGTTGCGAGCAGGAAAGCCCTTGCGATGGGCCTGCACGTGGGAACCACGAGCTCAGCCTCCTGTCCGGATGAAATCCAAGCTCGTCTAATCACTGTTTGGTCACTCTACTTTCTAGAGATGTAAGTTGACGAATATGTTTTGATATTCTGCAACTGGACAACATACTTACAACGTGCAGATGGCTGAGTTTAGTTGTCGGGCGCCGTAGCATGGTTGGGAAGGCAGACTTTGCCTCTTGCGCATTTCCTGACGGACAGCCGACGATGGTAGCTCTGTGCCAATTTGCAACCATCATCGAAGAGGCCGTGGAGTCTATCTACAATCGCAGGACTGACTCGCTCCGGCAACTCTATGGAAAGGCCGAAAAGCTCTACGCTCAGGTCCGGCAATACGGCGACAAGTGGGGCCTCGGCTCCGTAATCCCGGCGCAGCAGGAGGTGTGGAATGCCGAAACATCCTTGCTGATGCACAACGGTACGTTAAAGAATAGCGTCCTTGGACATTGCCTCCGTTCTAACTGAATATCAGTCTACTTCCATGTGATCCTTCTCATATTCCGTCCATTTTTAATAGCTGAAGCTGCCCTTCAGTCTGGGAATGGGGCTGGGCAAACAGGCGACATCTGGCTTCGACAAGCCTGTAGGCACGCAACAGACGCGGCACAAGACGCACTGGCTTTTACTAGCAGCAAGCTTCTCGGTCCTGAAGATTGCAATGTAAGACATCTTCACTTCGTTCGAACACTTTGCTTGTAGCAACTAACAACTTCTCAGTCGCGCAGGTATCACGCTTTCTTCATCGAGTCATGCTGCGCAGTTCTCCTATACGACAGCCTCCGCCATCCAGCTAAGCACCCGCACAACCTCGAGTACATCCAGATGGCCATCTCTGGCTTGCATTCTCTCGTAGGAGACGATCCTGTCACAAACGCAGTGCGTTCCATCAAGAGAATCGTGTGGGCCGTGGAGAGCTCCATCAATGCGTCGAGGACCACACTCGACGGGGGCTCCACGGATTCGTCGCCGTCATGGGCCGGCGACCGGTTCCCGACGAGCATACAATTCCCGTCGCTCGATGAAAATCGCGCGACGACCTCTGATGACTTGATCTATTTCAGCAACAGGGGGTATCGCCAACAGCCCGAGCCGCTGCCTCAAGACTATGCAATGTCTCTGCCTGGAACAGCACCAGGCTTGAACCCGTTTCCAGATCTCAACTTTGACGTGCTTACGACGGATCTGTTCAACTTCTTTCCGATAGATATGAACGGTACACCTTCTGGGCACGGCTGACTTAGGTCACGGAGTTAACTTCGACAGCCATAGCTATTGTCTGGGGGTGCAATGAAGAAATTTTCGCTTTGATCGTCGCCGTCGCCGTCATCGTTGCCTTTGCATCCAATCCCTTAATTTTTCGTCGTCTATCGTCAGCGTCTATCGTCGTCGGCAACAGCAGGTGTCTGCCTCACCACCAATCAGTGGTGTCCAATCTCGTCGGATCTTCTTCAAGAACAAAGAATTTGTAAGACAGAAGAGCTCTGACTTCGCGGTAGCTGATTGAATCCGAAACATCAGATGATATCTAAGCTCAGTGATGACTCGAAGAGCATTGTCCTTTTCAAGTTAGTCCTATGATCCAGGCAGCTATCACCGCAAGCGCTGTCCTGCTTCTCGTCTTTGCCACTGTCTCTGATACGATTGGTGCCTCTGTTACATGCCCTTTTATCATTCTCTTCATTGCTGCTATCGAAACCCGTTTTCCTGATTGACGTTGCTCTTTCTCGTCTCATTCTTCTATGCCTTCCCTTCAGACGAAGTACGACTGAAGGTTGAATCCATTAGTCAGTGTCAAAGGTCCTCTCGGGTATTAAACATGAAAGTTTATAAAACGCACATGTAAAATGTTCCGATATTCCGTACAAAATGGTTCCGATTCCGATCGCATTCGTTTATAAGTGCACCAGATAATGGCACTGACGTGGTAATGAAACCTTGTGTACCCTTCCCTTCCTCCACCAAGTTGCCTTTTAAAGCAACTCATTGTCCCATTGTGCCATCCGAAGTCCTACACTTAGGCCTAGGTTCGCTGATATTCTTGGGGAATCTAAGTATGCAACTGCCGAAGCAACTGCCGGTGGGCGTGCTTGGGACGGCCTTCTCTATCCGTGCTGTAAAATGATGCTGATACCGACGACAGTGATTACGCTTTGGGAAGTCTGTTTCCATACACTTAGAGCTCTCGAGAGTATAACACTGTCATGTATTGCTCTCTCAACTGCTGTGGAATTCAGTTGAACTGTTCGAGACATGAAAAGATTTGGCGTTGATTATAAGACTCATCATATCAAACTAAGATAATCCCGCATAATACAACATGACGCCTAGCTTGGTTGAGAGAGACAAACTATACTACAAGCTCGACATTACCGATAAACTGCCCCCCGGAACAGACAGCATTGAACAATTCGAGCTTAGCCCACGACAACCCCGACCACCTCCTAGACCCAAGAGGCCCGTCCCAGAATGGCCTCCTGAAGCAGAAAGAAAGGGGAAATGGATTCGGAGGTACCTGGACAAGGTGGGCACCCTAAGCATCCTATCCTTCGTGGACGCACTAACCGTGTGATTTCCCTTAAGCTTGACCCTGACACGGAATATGACCAAATCATCAAGACAGCAATCTTCTTCATGGCCAACTCCTTTGCCTTCTCCGCCGGCTACGCCTCCACCTTCATCCACCTCGTCCAGACCCCCGCCGGCGCCGCCGCGGTCCACCACACAGCCAAGGCCTACCGCCGTGGCCACCAGCGCTTCTTCGAGACGCAGGACTACTTCCTCGACTGGATGTGGTACGGCAGCGGCTCCGACGTCTCCCGCAAGCGCCTCGAGAGCGTCAACCGCATCCACGCGAGCGTCTGGAAGAACGTGCCGGGCGCGTACAGCCACCCCTGGGAGGGCGAGATGGCCATCATCGGTGCTGCGTACTTTGAGACGTACCTACGCAAGCTGGTCGGGGCGCGCCGGACGGAGCCGCATCCGAACGTGCGGCGGGCGTGGCCGGAGTGGGGCGAGCGCGTGTGTGCCCAGCTCCGGACGGAGCCGTTGGACGGGTCGCGGAGCTTTGGGGTGAATTTCCCAAGGACCTGGGAGGAGTTGGAAGGATTTTATTTGTGGTTTCAGAGGATTCCTATGGAGAGGTTTACGGATGAGGAGACAAGGCGGAAGGCGCATGATGCCTCGGAGGCGTTCATAAGGCAATTTAGCGTGATGTGGTTCCCGAGGTGAGTGACTCGATGCTGGTTTACTTGAAGATTTGCTGATGGCCAGTAGGCGTCTACAGTGGTTCGGCCGCCAGGTGGTCTTGACCGTGATACCAGCACCGATCCGAGAACACAACCAAATCGGGCATCCGAGTCCAGTCGCGGAGACGCTTATCAAGTTTGCCATCAAGATCTACCTCGACATGAAGGACGCGTTGCCAGACCCTGTCAGGCCAGATTTCTCGGATGAGTACCATGCGGCAAAGGGGGTAAACTGGAAAAAGACGGATGTTCAGACTGAGGCTGAATGGACGCGTCGCGATCAGGTCACCGACGCCATGTTGCTGATGATTATCGTCGTTGGTGGGGTGTGGGCTTTGTGGCAGCTCCGTGTCTTCAGCACCTGAACACTTCAGGGGCGTCTAGACAAAACTGGGTTAAGTGTACGTGTGTTGCAGTAGGTCTTTAGTAGAGGAGAAAATTCGATACTGGCTGAAAAGTATCATCAAAATAGCTTTGCTATCCGGGCAATATCCACTACACCCGTGCAATCCGTGTATCCTACTGAGACCCCCCTTAATCTCTGTACTATCTTAAAGCGACTACTTCCATTGTATGCTTGCTATCGTCGCCTTCTCTATCGTTGTCTTAATCCATCGTCTTCGCCCATCGTCTTCGCCCATCGTCTTCGTGCATCGTCACTTCTATCATCGCTGCCCCTACGGTTTTCTCTACTATTGTCGTTCTTATCGAAGTATAGATAGGCTATAATTGAAATTGTAGCGGAAACTATTCGAAGAGCTGATTGATACTATCTTGCTAGCAAAGCTCCATGAAAAGTTGCTCGTCTTCTTATCCGAATCTGGGATTGTGATTCATGCCTGGTGAGTCACGCCTTCGGTAAGGCTTCCTTTGGAGAGAAATAGCCGCTGGCGCTTGACTGAACGAGGAATGCTCGTCATCTATGTCTGTCAGATTCACAAGTTGCGAACATGGAGCGTCAAGGAATCAAGGCACGCATTCACCAGGAGCACCTCTCCTAAGGTAGTTTGAAGTCAGCCAACTCAGCTACACCTCAAACACCGCGGCTGATGTCGTAGAGCCACCACACACAGGAAATGCGTAACCAAATCCAATCAAATCTCATTTCATCCATCACTTATGACAGGGAAATGCTAACCCAAGGAGGCGGTCGCCCTACGGGAGGAACACACCCCTGTCCCAAGATTCTTCGAAATACCCATCGAGCCCCGACACCTCAACCTCACCTCTCCCCCTCGCTCCCGTCTCTCTTTTGCCTCAAGAGCCAAGCTTTTGGGGTCCAAATAGCTAGAGTCCCCACCGTTCCCTACCGCTTTGCGAGCATACGAGACGTGCAGTTGCCAAAACACCATAATTTGCTCAGCCCTGTACTGCATGCACACTGCAAAGGTGCATCCTTCGCGCCTCTACCAGGCATCCCGCTCCGCCCAACAAACACACGAATCGAACCTAGCCAACACTTTCAGCCTACGGCACCAACCGCAGCGCGGCTTACGAATGGTAGACCGTAGCCAGCGCAGGTTGAACTAGCGTTGGGACTTTGGTGAGCTAGCGCAGCACAATCGAGCCGTTCATAGTGCGACTGACGGGACTAGCCTTTATCCAGGTTCCATACCACCATAACTGCCAGGATCGGCCGCCGCGGTGGAGACCAGGTTCCCAGATATCCGGGGAAGCCCTATGCCAGGGCGCGGTGTTGTTGGTGATGCGGCCGACTTACAACTCCAGGCTTCAGGCTTCAGCCCCAATCTCAGCACTGCATGTGGTCTGTTAGCCTCTAGGCTGGAAGAACCCTTGTCACGTCAGGCTGATGCCTGGAGGATTTCTCCCGCCCACATCGCGAAACCATTGTCGACGATATGGGATTGGACAATGGGTGTATTTGAGTAATGGTGATGCCGCGAGGCCGAGATACTTCTCAGCCATGGCGCTGTATATAAGTCGAAGCTTAGTCCGAACAACGAAAGACGATCTCTCCCATCATCGACACCGCCTTTCATCTCAGAGCTCACACCTTCCCAATCTCATCGATACCTCAAAGGCACCATGAGATTCGACACTCTCACGGGCACCCTCGCCCTCGCAGCTCTCAGCCGCTCCGTCGCCGCGGATCCCCTCACAATCACACTCCAAAACCGTCGCCGCGTGCCTGCCGGTCTGAAGCCCAAGACGAACGTCATGAAGCGCTCCTCGACCAGTACCGTCTCCCTCACGAACTGGTTCGAGAACTACGACCTCCAGTGGTACGGCACCGTCCAGGTCGGCACCCCGCCGCAGAACTTGTAAGTCTCTACCCACGTCCGCATCTTTCACACACACTCAACTGACACACCGAAAACAGCACCGTGACCTTCGACACCGGCTCCACAGACCTCGTCCTCCCCTCCTCCTCCTGCACAACCTGCACCCAGGAGTCCGTCTTCACCCGCGCCTCCTCCGACACCTTCTCGCCCTTGCCGGGCTACAACGTGACCACCTCCTTCGGCACCGGCGGCAAGTCCATCCCCTATGCCGAGCCGCAGCCCGCCTCCGGCACCGTCGTCACCGACGCCGTCGCCCTCGCGGGGCACACCGTCCCCAACCAGACCTTCCTCCTCTGCGACACCTACGCCGACGCCTTCAACGAGATGCCCATCGACGGCATCTTCGGCATGGGCCCGCCCGGCTTCTCGCACTTCTCCGAGGTCGTCACCAACGCCTCCTTCTCAACCTGGTTCTGGACCCTCGCCGCGCAGGGCGAAGTCCCCGAGCCGCGCTTCTCCATCTTCCTCAACTCAGGCGTGAACGGCACCAGCGCGCCGCTGGGCGAGATCACCCTCGGCGGCGTCAACGCGGCGCGCTACACCGGCGACATCAAGTACATCGACTTCAACATGACCGTCAGCGCCACCGGCATGGGCTGGTTCATCGACCAGCCGTCCTTCTTCGTCAACGGCAAGACGGTCACCAACTCCTCCGCCAACGGCGCCGCGTTCCCAGGCGGCGTCTCCCTCGTCGACACGGGCACCGCCTTCCTGCAGGCGCCGGACTACCAGACCGCCAAGGACATCTACGCCGCCATCTCGCCCGAGATCACGCAGATCGACCCGCTGGGCGCGTGGGGCGCGCCGTGCGACGTTGTCGAGAAGCTGGACCCCGAGCTGACCTTCACGCTCGGCTTCGGCGCCCAGGCGGTCAACGTGACGGTGCCGCGCGGTGAGTTCAACCTCGGCGAGTACCCCGGCCAGAACGGCACCTGCCAGACGCTGTTTTTGAACCCGGTGACGCCGATTAGCGATTCCGTGCCGATCTGGGTGCTCGGCGGCCCGCTGCTGAAGGGGTACTACACCGTCTGGGATGGCGCGCAGCCTGAGGCGCTGAAGTTTGGCGTTGCGGAGTTGAAGGCGAACGCGACGACGGGCGGGAACGGGACTGGGGCGAGCCCGAGTGCGACGCCAACGGCCGTGAGCGGGGGTAATCTGGTTGGACCTGTCGGGTGGATGGCCGCAGCGGGTGTTGCTGCCGTTGTCTTGGCTTTGTAGAAGGGCATACCTAATCAGGTTGGTTTCACTGCTGGACGTAATATGTAGGGATAGTCGGGATGTAGATCATAGGTGATAATGTCTAAGTCGTACGCTGTGTCTCCTTGAGAAAGTCTGCTGCTCGCTCTGCTGCCGCGTAAACAAGAACCTGGATGTTGGCCCTCGGAATCAGGGGAAACACGCTCGCGTCCACAACTCTCAGGTTCTCCACGCCATAGACCCTGAACTTCTCATCAACAACTCCGCCTTTGGCCAGCGGCATCATCGCGCATGTGCCGCAGGGGTGGTACTCGCTCTGCACGCTGCTCCTCACCCACTCTTCCGCGTTCAGCGCCGTCAGCTCGTGGTATCCAGGCTGGTACACCGTGCCATCGCCCTGAAGCAGATCACTGAGCGGCTTAGTACGGGCGACGGTCTGCACGTGGAGCGCGATGGCTTTCAACAAGCTGACATCGGCTGGGTTGGACAGGTAACACGGGTCGATGTTAGGGTGGATGGCGGGGTCCGCGGACTGGATGTGGACGGAGCCTCTGGAGAAGGGGTGCTCCAGGACGCCGAGAATAGAGAGGTAGTTCGCTGGAGTGTTGGCGGAGAAGAGCTTCGTCGTGTCCGAGGAGAACTGAGGGGAGATGCCGCCCTCTATGGTGAGTTCTTGCGCTATGGCTTCTGACTTTAGGTCGCGGATGAGGAGGCGATATTGCTCATCCAGGCCTGGCTTTCCGGTCTTCAGTCCAAGTGAGAGGGTATCGAAATCTAGTGTCGAGGCAATCTGCTTGAGCGACAGAAGAGCCGAGCTAGCGCCTGCCGAGGAGAGACGGCCCGTTTCATTCTGGATGTAGAGATCGAGCTGTTCTTGGAAGTAGATTGCGTTGGCGTAGTCCTCGTTGGTCGGAACGCCCGGCTTTGTAGCGAATCTGAATATGGTCAGCCCCAATTTGCAAGTTAAATGAATGTTGACCAGAGAGAACACACCCAAGTGGGACGTAAACATGGTCCTGCAAGTTCTCGCCGACGTTCGGGTTATCAACGAATACCTCGATGCCATGCTGCCGTAGCAGCCTCCCTTCGCCGATGCCAGAGCATTCGAGAAGTTGGGGTGAGGCGATGGATCCCGCAGCGAGGACGACTTCTCTCGCGGCCGTTGCCTCGTAAGTCGAGCCGTCCTTGGTCCACCTGACGCCGGTAGCCGCAACCCTGCCGCCACTTCTATTCAACACGATATTGGTGATGAAGGCACCAGTGACCACCTTCAGATTTGGCCGCTGTCGCGCGGGGCCGAGATAGGCATTGGCAGCGAAGCTCCGCGTCGCGCTGTTGATATTGAGCAGGTTGACATATCCGCCCAAAGTCCTACCATCTCTGGGGTCACCGCTCACAGCCAGGCCGAGATTCTTAAGCGTCCTGGGCCAGGCCCGCAGAAGAGGGCTCTGAAGCCGTGGGAACTCGTTGACGATGGGCCCAGCGGTACCGTGGGAGTTCGGGTCGACGTAGCCGAGAAGCATATCAGCCGTCTGCTGCTCAGTCGGTGCGACGAAGGCCTCAGACTTTCGCAAGTAGGGGGCCAGCTCGTCCCACGACCAGCCCTTGTTTCCGAGCTCGCCCCAGCCGTCGATGTCTCGTCTGGAGGGGTGCGTCCAGAACATGAAGTTCATCGCGCTGGAGCCCCCGAGCTGTTTGCCGCGGATGTGGGCGACGACTTTGTTGTTCGCGGCGGACTGTCGTCGTTAGTCATCCGGAGTTTCAAAGAAAATAGGTGAAGTACCTGCGGAACAGTCTTGTAGTCCCAATCATACTCAGGATTGCCGTACATGACTGGGAACAGACCTGGTGCAAGAACGTTCAGGTCGGATGTGTGATCAGCCCCGGCTTCTAGGACCAGAACCGTGGTGGTAGAGTTCTCCGTCAGACGAGCCGCAACGGTGAGTCCAGCGGTACCGCCGCCAACGATACTAGTTATCGGTCAGTTGTCTTTCCGCGGCGATTGGGGATGAGTATTGTCCACACATGTAGTCGAACACATCAGCCATGGCTGTGACTGTGAATGTCATCAGAACGACCAGCAAAGAGTGTCGCCGCCAGAGCATTGTTGAAAGATCCTATGAGCAACAGATTGGTTCAAGATGCCGGATGATAGCAGGAAAGCAGGAAGCTCCGTGCAGCTTTTCCCGTGCAGACGACGAGTCTATGAGCCTACTTATAGCCACAAAGATGGAGAGGCTGCAGGCTCTGCATCGTGGAGGTACAATCACCGATTAGCCATTTATCATTGAGAAGCACCTTGACCACGGCTGAGCCAGACATTGCATTGATACCGGCGCAGTCTAGCTAGCTTCACTGTACCACCGGGGTCCAATAGATGCGGGCGATGAGTAAGCCATGCATGTCTCGCGGAATTCCACCACTGAAATAGTCAGGAGTGTCGTGACAATGGAGCCCAGAACTGTGAGAACTTATTCTGCGTTCATAAAATTTGGATGTGAAGGCCGGTTCGACGTCTGAGACGCAGTGGTATGAACTCTGGGATTAGTATGGAGTATTGCTATTCGGGCGCATAGTTATCACAGGCGAGGACAGGGACGAGGACGACAGGAGCGGTCGCAAGGATACTGGAGAAGGCTCTCGTTTGGATTATTGAAGGCATCAGCAAGGTCTTGGTAGCCTGGCTTAGGCTGAGTGGTGCGTATGATGCGCCGCCTGTCCATTGTGTTCACTTGAACGTTGAGATATGTCTGGATTACCAAGCTCAAGGCAACTGACGTGGGATGCAGGGCCAATATTGCCAAAGCAGCGGCATCAATCATCTCCAGTCTGCTATGACATAGCTGTGTCTTGCGCATTTGGAACTGAGATAGCACCGCCAATAGTGTTGGCGACCTCGTTGGTCCCGCAGACCAAGGCTCCTTAAGCGTCCCTCAGAGCGGCTTCTCCTGCTTGCGCAGGCGCAATGAGCCCATAAGCCATCACCACGCAGCTAAACACATTTGTGAAGAGATGTAACTTTTCTCATGTAGTCGTGATATGCCTGATACACCTATTATACAAATATTTCTTGATGCCGGTGTGGAAGCATCACATCCTCGGGCCTTCTCCTACATCTTGGTATACAGTGGTTTGCCTTCGGTGGCAGTCGGCTTATTGCTGGCGCTTCGAAAAGTCGGAACCGGGGCCGTAGACGAGGACCGGTCTTCGCTGCATGTTACGGTAGGCGGCTTCGGCGATGGCGGAGTCGGATCGGATAACGCTACCAATGGACATGAAGAAGCTGGGCCCTGTTAGCTCTTGTCGCAATGGGCGGTAAGGCTGCGCATACCCGAAAGTTGCTCCGGAACCAGCCATGTACTGTCCCAGTGTCCTCATAATGCCGTTGGGGCCGGCGCCGTAGCGCATGATGTTGATCGAGCCTGTGGGGTTTGGGTGGTCAGTCGAGAAAATGCGACAGAGGGGGGTGAGGCGGTGGCGCACCAAAGACGAAGCCCATGACAGCTCCGACAGCTATGACTGGATTAGCTCTCGTCCGGGTTCATTCCATAAGCATTGTTGACATACTGCCACCCATCAGAGCACCCATCTTGACTGCGAAAGGTCAGCGCAAGCTCCACCAGGATGGAGGGGAAATCGTACGCTTGTCGGCGATGGAGGGGCCCATGGCGCCGGCGTGTTGCTGGGGAACGGGAGGCATTGTGAAGAAGGAGACGAGCTCGAGTGAACTTTCAAGGGAAGGGATTGCCGCGAAAGGGTCAAGCTGTGCTGGTGCTCAACCTCGAACCGTGGGTGATGTTGGTGGTGCTGCGGATGGCCTGAATATTTGGTGGAGTCGAGCTCTCTCAATTTGCTGGAGCGGTTTCCTGCAGCCTCCCGGCGCCACCTGAGCTTTGGACGAATCCAATCCGGGGTACGGCAGTTCCTCGGCAAAAAAGACAGATGGTGGGGCGGGTTCCGCTGTCTCTGTCCCATTGGCCGGTTATTATTGCAACGCCTTATCGACAACGATGGCACGGTCACCCGCACTCGAGCAGGCACAGGCCACCTGGAACCAGAAAATCTCCAGGTGGCCGACCGGGTCGGGTGGTGTGACGGACAGGCAGTGCGAGCCACAGTGCCGCACCGCCCCGTCTGCCCGCGAATGACATCAGCCCTCACTGTGATGAAGACGGGAGTGTCACGTGGGCCAAGGTTTTCTGTTGGTGGGTGCTGAGATGTCCAGCGCCAAATCAGCAGCAGCAGCAGCAAGCGCAGAGAAGGGTGGGCAGGTGGACCGGACGGGATCCTCTGACGGCTAAGGTGCACTGTAAAGCAAACCAACCAAGCAGCCTAGCCAAAGCCATCTGCCCGGTCCACGAGCCAGTCGTCGGACCAGCAGTCAGTCAGCATCCCTCTTGTACTCCCTCGCTCGCTCCTCTCTCTCCTCTTTTTGTGCGTTTTCCTTCCTTCTCGACGTCTTCGCTGCAGATCCACGAGCGAGTGCATGAACGGTGACAGCCGTCGGGGCCTGTGCGGTGCTGAATCCAGAAGGGGAATTAAAACAGAAAAGTTCCAGTCGCGGTCGCAGCTTCAGCCCAGCGCCCAGAGCCCCCCAGTCCACCCAGCCCGGCGTTCCACCTCTCTCACTCTCATGGGCCAGGTCGGCTCCGGCGCGTGTTTCCGACTGCTGTTTGGTCCTCCCTCCTCCGCCCGTCCCCTCAGTGTCCCCTCACACTCCCAGTCCCCGGTGCAGCGCTCGCTGAGTGAGGTGCGACCGCGAACCAAAGTCTGCGTGCGTGCACTGGCAACGTCAACGGTAACTGCACACCACCCGCTAAGCGCTTAGCGAGACGGGGGCGAGACTCTGTTCTTTCCCAAATCCTAGATTCAACTTCACCTCCCCTACCGAGCACGTCTTCTTATCGTCGATCGAGCTGCCCAAACAGCCCTCAAGCCCGCTCCCTTTCAATTGCAGGTACGTCGAGCAGCCACCCCTTGCGCTTTTCTTGCCCACAGGAAACGGCCGCAGGCCCCCGAGGCCCCGTACCCGACCGGCTGTCTCGCGCCAATTGGCTGTCCACCCCTATCCTTGCCGCGACATCATCGCTGACTTATTTTTCCTGCCAGCGCAGCCTCATCCCTTCACACCTCCGACCGTGGCTTCATCGAGACGACATCCCATACCTCCCCATTTTCTTGCAAGCGACCACCGACCTTTTGAGATACCCAGAGGGCTGCTGTGCGAATGGTGACGGAATCCGACCCCGGCGTCCCTAGACCACCACCTACCACTGCCACTGCCACCACTGCCATCGATACCCTTCCATCGCCATCGCCTGCCCCTTAGTCCGACGTCCTTTGTCCTTCCACGTCAACCACCACGACCGCACACCCACCCCTCATGACTGCCGTCGCGAGCCCTCCCAGCTTTCAGCAACTCAATCGGCCGGCATGGAACGTTAATGGCGGGCAAAGTCTGAATTCGATGAATCCAGAAGACGTCAGAGGCATGTTCATGCCCCGAAAAACGCTCCAGCGAAGCAACTCATCCTCCTCTGTCTCCTCGACCTCCTCAAACTCCTCGACCACCACCGTTGCTACCAACAACTCTCAACCAAATGGCACTCCCGCGTCTTCAAACTCCGATATGAGCTCCTGGAGCACCGCCTCCAGGAAGCGGCCCCAGCCCAAGGCCCCTTGGCCTGCCGGCAAACCTGAAGGCCAGGGCGACTTTGGCAGGCCCGTCATGCGAGGTCCTATGAACGGCGTGAACGGAGCCACCTCTTTGCAGTCGGCACCCGGCCAGCCGCAAATGATGTCGCAGCAGGGTCTCGGCGCGAGGCCTTTGGGCGATCCCATGCCAAACGGCCAACCCGTGCTCTACCTGCTGTCTTTGAATGGCACGTTTGAGCGCAAGACCATTTCGGTTCCATTCTATCCCGAGAGTCTTCGCATCGGCCGTCAGACTAACCAGAAGACGATTCCCACTGCTACGAATGGGTACTTTGACAGCAAAGTCTTATCCAGGCAGCACGCCGAAATTTGGGCCGATCGTATGGGCAAGATCTACATCCGAGATGTCAAGTCTTCTAACGGCACATTCGTCAATGGTACGCGCCTTTCACAAGAGAACCGTGAATCCGAACCGCACGAGTTGCAGACCGGGGACCATCTCGAACTCGGCATTGATATTGTCAGCGAGGACCAGAAGACTGTCGTCCACCACAAAGTAGCCGCCAAGGTCGAACATGCGGGCTTCATGAGCCCTTCCAGCAATGTTATGGACATGAGCTTTGGAGATCTAGACCCTGCTAACGGTGGCATGATGATGCCGGCGCCCCAACCTATGCCCTATCGCGGCAGAGCAGGTAGCAACGCGTCGATGGCTAGCAATGGGCGTATGGTGCCTGCCCAACAAATGAACGGCATGCCTGCGAATGGAGGAGCCGCGCGCGGATTCTTGCTGACCCCCATTACCACTGAGCACATCGTCAAGCGGTTACACGTGAGTACTTGCCTGACACAATCTAGCGCAATACGCTAACTAGAAACAGAACGAGATGCGCAGCGCACGACTACAAACCCAAGACCTCACCCGAACCGGCCAGTTCATCAGCGCCCTGCTGAGCAAAGAGGATGTGAAGGATCTCGAGAAACCTGAGGTCCCAGAGCCTGCGAAACAGCTGCCCAACGGCAATGGCATGCCATTCCGCTCCGACGGCAAGACGCGATTTTCCGACCCTCCCGCGCCTCCCCCTCAACAACCCCTTCCCGAGAAGCCTGACGTACCCTCATTGAAGCGAGGCACCACCGAAAGGCCAAAGACGCACTCGGCCGCAAACAGCACCACCTCGCCAGTCGGACGCGACAACCTGCACCAGATCATTCAGTTGACGGAGGCGCTGAACAATGCAAAGAAGGATTTGGATTCGCAGACGGCTCGCATCCGCGATTTGGAGGATATGCTCCGCAAGGAACGGGAGGCAAGAGAGCTGGCTGAAGACATGGCTAAGATCCTCGAGGACAGTGCCTTGGCCAAGGAGGCGAACGGCGCGCCCAAGGAGTCCGACACAGAAACGCTCCTGCAGGAAGCATTTGAGCCTCCCCGTGAAGTCTCCGAATCCCCCGACGTCGAGATGACAGACGCCGACTCCATCGCCAAGGAGCCGGCGCCAGAAAGCGCGGAGGATATTGCCGCTCGATTCCAGATCAAGATCGATACCATGATGTCAGAGATGAGCGACCTGAAGCAGCAGATGGACGCCTGGAGGCAGCGGTGCGAAAAGGCCGAGACGGAACGCGACGCCGACCGCAAGACCCTTGCGGAAATGATCGCCCAGATCCGAAGAGACGAGGAGGCCCGGCAGGCTGCAGCAGAGGAAAAGGCACGCTCCCGGTCCCGCGGACGAACCAACGGCACAGCGGAAGCCGGCAGCAAACCCACCTCGATCGCCCAGACCGACGGGTCCCAGGAATCGACTCCTTCAGCTACACAGACAGAGGACCTCAGCGACAAGCCAACGTTGTCGCGTGCCAATACCATCACGCCACTCTCAATACCGCCAGGGAAGTTGGCCAAGGACCAGGCGTTGATGGCCGGGGTCCCCTACGCCTCCATGTTAGGCGTGGTGATCTTAGGCATGGGCCTGATGGCGTATATCAACGGCTGGCAACCCGAGCCGGCCCCCCGTCACTGACGATGGCTGCTGGGCACCCCTTCCTCTTCGCTTCTCTAGACCACATTCGTCGTTCTGCTCAGGCGTTCTACATACCTACGGCGTTTTCTTGCATTGACAGCGGTCATTCGTTCCCACCGACCCTCGTGTTGTTTTATTCCCTTTGTATCTACTACCACCTTATTTTTACTTGTATGAACTGCGAAACCTGACTGGTTTCCTTCCTTTCCTTTGTCTCTATTTTTCTTCAACCACGGGAAATTAGGGACAGGCCGGGCGGAAACCACAAATACGGAGGGGCTGGGAACAGGCGTTTTCTATTTCATGCTCTGCCCCTTTCTTGTTTTTGAGCCCCCTTTGCGCGCGTGCTGCAGCAAGGTGTTTTCTTTAAACTGTGCAACCCCTTTTGGGAAACGGGATGGGCAAATCAGGGATGATGGGATGACGACAAACACACTTTTTTCTCGACTACTGGGCAAAAAAAGAATTAAAATTCGATGATGAACAAATTACCTCTTTTTTTGCTGCAGAGATGGGAATCAGGCACACGGTGCACTGTTTCCATGAGATGAGCTGGTGAAGACAGAATAAGAGCATCGCGGCTTTGAGGCTGTTGGTGTGGTGTAGAATGTGGTGGAGGCTTGGGGCAGGCGTGATCATGAGTAATGTTTGCATAGTGGGAGGGATGGGAATATACAGGCCTTTAATACTTCAAATAAGTGCTTCGTGATCCGAAGTGAAATATGACTGGTGTGAGAGACGATGTTGATGTTGGTGTTTGGTCCAGGCTGGGGACGGTCGATGGCCGCTATGTGGTTGTTCGACACCAGAGTTTAATTCCTCGCGAGGTACATCATGCCTCTAGAGCTGCCGGCTGGTAAATGTGACCTCGGGATGGACGCTTATAAATTCCTCGGTTCCTCATTCATTATGGAAACGCAGCCCGACAGATATCTCATTCCAGATCTCATCGTTTCCACACGCCTCAGGCGACGAACGCATGTTTGGGTTTGACTTGGAATGTGTGGGTTCCTTTAGTATTGAGGAGTGGGTTCAGGTTGAGTTGGGAATGTGGGTAGATTACACGCTGGGTTGGTGGAGACGATTATGATGGACGGCGACGATGCTCCAGATTGGCTGTAGTGTGACGATGAGGGAGTGGATGGGAGGGATGGCTTGCGAGTGGTATGCAGATATGGGTGCTTGGCTGAGCGTCCCCATCTTCCATTGCCTGGAGGAGAAAAATTCTTTCTCAAATTACCGGGGTGGAAAGAACTGTTCGTTGACTGCTTGAAGTACTGCATCGTTACGGCGAGATCTTTCCGCGGGTTTGGGATAGCCGCGACGCGTGTACCTCAGACACGAGAGTTGAGGAAATGATATATAATGAGCATCTGGTAGGTTTTCTGTCAACACGCCGGGCGACCATTCACGCTTTTTCTTGTACTTCGTGTTGACAATAACCGCTCATTGTGGCAGTGATGGATCGGGGCCAGAGTCAACGTAGGCCCCAGAGAGTGGTGATTATTGCACATTTGAATCCCAGGAAAGAGTGCTAAGAACATACGTTCTGCGTATACAGGCTGGACCTAAGAATATCGTACTAAAGATGTACACGGACGACGAGGAAGTGCGAACGTCAACCCCACTTGTACCAGCATCGATGCTCGATGCTTTGGTTATAACGCCCAGGTGAAGAGCACCGAAAGTAACTTGAAACGAAACGTCGAGTACTCCAGCAATTCTGTTTCTTGGTTTCGGATTCGAGCTAGGGCAAGCGGCCTTGTTGTATTTATTATGCACTCGGAACCGGCCTAAATCACGAAGTCACGATATTAGTTAGCGTGAGGCGTGGCATGTGCCTCTGTCTTTCACCGCATAGCATGCTCTTGCTATGCTCTTCTTCACTGCCAGCGGTCGAATATCGGGCTCGGCAACAGTGTGCTTCGTGGAATGGTCATACGCAACAGTAGATTGACTCACAATTGTATTATGTTGGCTAGATGTCAATAGTGCAATCTTCTCGACAAACAATTGACTTACCTTCTGCTGATTGTTGTCGGAAGAGCCGTCGGCGTTTTCATAGAGCCACGGCTGGAGCGATCATGGTCAAGTCCCAAGCCCGGTGTTTTGTCTTCCAGCTATGGACCATAAATCATCGGGCTTCTCTTTGATATTCGTTAGCAAATAAGCGGAGGAGCGTGACGGCGGACGCAGCGGGGGTCACGGCACAGGTTGGAAATGCTGGGGTTCGCACTCGTTATGAGGGCATCGTTCAGGGCTTGGGACTCGACATTTCGACTTGATTCAACCCATAGGCGAAGAGCCGTTCGAATTGCCGTTCAAATCTACCTCATGAAGAATCTGCCCTTTTATACGATATAGACGAAGCCTTTGGAGTGTTGTGCGTCAATCATGCTGCTCAGCAAGGACAAGCTTTGCCACACCATCGACTTTGCTATAAATGGTAATCTAGAGTGCCGGAGTCAAGTCTCACCAGCAGACAGGAATGGCTCGAGCTTGTGTCATTTTTCTTCGTGCGTCTCGGCACAGGATACTTACATATCCTCCCAGATCGAGTGCTGTGACCTACCTTATCGATAGGTAGAGTCTCTCACAAGCTGGACAGCGGTTTTGGGATATTCTCGATGAATATTCCATGACTAGTGAGGGGTGGCGTCATTACTTCTGAGAGTTACCGAAAGCCAAATTGGCATTGGGTTCTGGAGGCTTCGGATCACAATCTTGATTGATCATGTTGCAGCCATAATTAGAAAGGGAACAAGAGAAGCGAGTGATTCTCGGTGTGTCTCTAAGCCATTTAAATGCATCCTATTTATACGTGAAGCTGAATGCACGCTTGCCTGGACGGAGTCGGTGTCTGCCCGAGCACTATGTCTTTCATTAACGACGACATATCCTTCCATCGAGGGTCGGGGTCTGGCTTCGTATTGTTGAACATATAAAGTGAAGCTCTCCGTGCCTTGGTAAATCAACAAGAGGCCAGTGACAATGTCTTCAATCACAGTTTCCAGCATCACAATGTCTTCGTCACTGCGGGTGACACCATCGAGGATTCACTTGGTAAATGTTGTTCTAGACAATATATACAACCAATATGGCGTTGCACGCTTATTCCGAGATTTCATTCAAGCACCAGAGACAATGCAGAAAGCCAAGAATCCCTCTCAACCGGAAGTGCTCAACAGCGCATAAAGCTATATCGGCCTTGATAGCTTTTGAAAGGTTACTTAGCTACGAGAGCAACACATACAGACTGCTCACATTATCTGCTAATTTGCGTTGAGTGTGATGTGTGTCGACTTTACATCCTCCATCCAAATAATGCTTCTTGAGGAAGCCATCGAGGTCCTCTGAGATCCATATTTTGATCAGGTATTTGGCCTGTCACTGAGTTCTGACCAGAATGAGATAGGAATGTCTTGTTAATTGTGTCAAAAGTGCGAAGTTAATGTCGCCTTGGGTCGTACTTCGAGCGCACCCAGTCACTGCCAGCTGCCGGCGTGACACGAAGGTGTGTGGGTCACGTAGCAGGTTTGCTCACATCATGGTCCGTTATATTCTGGTTTATTCTTCTAATAAACCGCCGGTAGTTAAGACCGAAGAAAATATGCGGATATTGGTTTCAACAACTTCCAACACCCGCCCATGTTACACTGTAAAAATTGCATGCGAAAAGTGACGCTCCGGCATTGACCGAGGGAGAACTGAGAGCAGGGCACTGGATTTGGCTATAGGTCTGTCCAATTTCGTCTATATCTTGCTATTTATCCTCTATCTATAGCACGTTAAATTACATCACCCTCAATTTTCAGGGAACCACTTTAGAACCCCTTGCATCTCCTTGATCGCACTCTTCTCGAGTGATGTCCATCCTTCTTGACTTCCCCATTTCTTGAGCAAGGCCAAGGGTTGTTCAGAGTCAGCCGTGACCTCCAGCTTTGTCTGATTGTCGAAGTCATCCATGATGTTCCTGCCCGGATAAGTCTTCCGCAGAATGGCAAGAATATCATTCATGTTGCAGTGCTCACCCCACGCCTGTATTCGCGCGCCATTGCAATCGGGATCGAGTGCCGCGGCCACGTGGAGGATCGCAACATCTTGGACGTCAACATGGATGACTGCATACATTGTAATCAGCTGTCTGAAGGGACTTTGGGCGTTGGAGTATTACTCACTAGCCTGGAATAAAGCTCCGATCTCTGCTTTTCCGTAATAGAGGTTCTTGAGCCACGGGTACGGAGACAGCAAATGCTTCTGGTGAAGCGCCTCGCCCAACACCGTCGCAGGGCTGACAACATTGACGTTGTAATGAGGTTTGTTCTTCTTCACGAAGTCCCACACGGCCTTCTCTGCCTCGACTTTGCTGGCCTGGTAGACCATGTGCCAATAGTTCTCAAGGTGTGGCGGCGGAGCCCAAGCGACCTCGACCGCCTTGTCGTTCCAGGCATCCGGTCCCGCGTGCTGAGCGTTTGCGCCCGGGGTGATATCCACTGCGGCGGCAATGGAGCTGGTGTAGACGAATGACTTGACTGATGGCTCGCGAGCCGCGGCATCGAGGATGGAGGTGACGCTTTTGACGACGGGTGGAATGACTTCTCTGGGATTGTTTGAGAATGAGAGGATTGAGGCGATGTGAACGATAGCTGAGACACCCGTGATGGCTTCGTCGAAGGCGTTCTTCGCGCCGAGGTCTGGGACGTGGACGAGCTCGAGATCACCGCGGTCCGCGAATGACTTGAAGACGTCCTGAGTGAGCCATTGGGCGGCCTCCAGATCTCTAACGGAGCCGCGGACTTTGAAGCCACGTTGGAGAAGTTTTTTAGCCGTGTGTGCTGCAACATGGCCTGTGACGCCGGTAATGAGAACCCAGGAGCCTTGGGGGATTACGGTTTCGGGGAAAGACATGGCAATGAATGATGATGGAGATCGATAGCTTGAATCTGAACTTGAAATGTGTGTTTGGTCCTCACAAATTCGTGATCTGGATTTGAAAACCCTCGTTAACGTGTGCATTTATGTTGATTTTCGAGTCAGGGAACAGTCTCTTGAGGCATTTCTCATAGAGCGAGGTCACGTAGGCTGCTCTACATCGGGAAGGAGATCGCCTTGGCAATTTCTTCTGTAACCAGCCAATTATGTGGAAACGCGGCGTTTGGGGGCTGGACACGGGTTGTAATTCTTCTTGATGCCGGGTGAAGAACCCCGATACCCGGAGTTGCATCTCGGGCCGGCTCCGGTGGTTCGAGTCCCAATTTCCTTTTTTGGAAGTCGCAAGCCTTGGCATAAGCAGTCGCTGACGATTGGGAGAGATGAAATGGCGAGCTATTGGCCAGGTTTCGTGATTACAAATGCGAAAAGGAAGGGAGAGATGACCTGGTTTTGCTGACAAACTATCCGGTCCTCGTTTTCGACACATCGTGAGAGGCCTAAAATCCAAGATGTGGGGGCCCATTCAAGCTGTTTAAGGGACTCCTGGGATAATAACCATCATGGCAACAAGGAGACATGATATTCAATTCATCCATTCACATGAGAAGTCCACCCTTGGAGCCAAGTCGGACGAGGCGCAACGCCGGGTTCACTCCCATGCGGCGCGCGCGGCGCATGCCAAGACGCGGCGACAGAGGGTTATCCAATACCAGGCCACCAAAGCAAGTCGCAATAATTGTAATGGGGAACAGCCTCCTGCAAGAGCAGCAGCTGAAGTTCAAGTATCTGTCATCTCGAACCCCATAGCTTCCCTGGGATGTGGCCGGAGAGACCCCTTCGCCAGTTTTGCGAGGCGCCTCAGTCCGACAGAAAACTTCCTCCTGGATTATTGTAAGTTACACTCGTGGCTCGCCTAATTCCAAAGACATTATACTTCCCAAGGTCATTCCTGCACATAAGATGCGAACCTCAAGAGCATATTTTGACCGGATAAACCACTTTAGATGCCCACAACGTTGTACCATGTTCGACATTTGAACACAATCAGAGCAGACTTCCGGGAGCCAGTGCACGAGAGATAAGCAAGCAGTTCGTACAGCTTGCAGCCACCAGCATCAGCGGTCTAAATGGCCTCTTTCTTGTGACGTGTCGCCACCTGTCATACTGTCTGCCACAACAGGGGGTGCATTATGCTCAACTGGCTCTGCAGTACAAAGTCGATTGCGCGAAAATACTCATGCAAGCCATATCCACCCTAGAGACGCAATCTCCAATTAGTGATTCGATCATTACGGTTGCTGTTTTCCTAGCACAAGACGAGGTAAGTTATCTTGACTGCGTATTAGTTTGTGTTCATTTATGGAGCGTTGAAAAATGGCAGATCCTTCTCGGTAATGTCCAGTGGGTGCAACAGCACCTACGGGGTGCGATTCAGATGGTGAAACACAACGGCGCATTGAAGGAGAAAGGCTACAACGTGTTTCTCTACGACATCATCCGAAATGACATAACAAACTCTGAAATCCTGCGGTCAGCGGCACCATTTCCGCAACTTTAAGTTCATGACAAAAGCTTAATAGTACAGCAGAGGAATTCACATTAGTAGCAAATAGTTCAACTGAGAGTTGTACAATGCGGTGAGAGAAATGCCTTGAAGGGTGTTTGTTTGCTACTGCATTTGTACGCGGTGAAATTGGTGCCAGTGTTTTCACGCACACACATGTCCAACCCCCATGCCAAGACGGCGGCAACCCGTACCGCCGCGGGCCGGAGAAAGCGGAGCAACGGGAGCTACGTATCCCCACTCCGTGATCCGGTTTAAATCGCGGGGCCCCGGTCCAGACACAGCCATCGGGGGGCTAAGAGCGTCTCGTGGCATGTCTGGGACGAACCGGGGCCGGGGATGGCGATGGCGTCTTCCGGTCCCGAATGACGTGATAAGCAGCCGCGCCCAGCCAAATCCCCGAAATACACGGATATATCCCGACCCGGATCTCGCCGGCTACAAGCTCAGGATGGAAAATAAACCGTATTACCAATCCTCCTCCCTAGTAAACCAAAGACCGATCCACACCGGTGTCTTAAAAGTTGAATCCCAGGGGTTGTCGCTGACAGATGTCCCAGACAACGGCATTAAGGGGGCCACCGAGTCGCGCTGGTCGAATTACGACAGCGAACCCCGCGATGGCGACACACCCCACGCCAAGGGTGGGCGAATCACCAACCCGCCGCAGCACATCATTCATCCTCGGACCCGTCCCAAACCCACTCCCGACGTCTGACAACCAGTCTGCGGTCGACGACTGCTATCTTTGAGGTCGTACCCAGGTCTCCTGAGCTCTTGCGCGATGGCTAGGATATCGGAATCCGAGGTCGGGTACTTAAATTTCGGTATGGGACCCTGAAAAAGATGATCAGCATGAAATAAAAGTTTTGGAAATCACTCTCGGTCGTTCTGAGGTGGTTCTTGCGTTCTGTCAAAACCTCCCCTTCCCACGGTTCTCTCAAGTTAACGCCCTGGGTCCCTCAGAAGTGACGCCCCTGCTCGAGATGCCGTCCGAGCACGAGGGCGAGTCCCCCAAGGGGCTGGCGGTCGACGAGTCCTTTTCCGACCGAACTTCGGCAACGGCACCGCACGGCAAGGAGAAGGCGCCATGGTGGTCCTACATTTGGGACTACGAGCCGGGTCGCTCCCACGAGGAGCGCGTCTTCATTCAGAAATTGGATATCTTCCTGATCACGATGCTCAGTTTCGGGTATTTCATCAAGAATCTGGACCAGACCAACATCAGCAACGCTTTCGTGTCCGGCATGAAGGAGGACCTGGCCATGAACGGAAATGAGCTGAACCTGGTCGACACGGCGTGGACTGTGGGTTACGTCGTGGGACAAATCCCTTCACAGATTGTGTTGACAAAGGTGCGCCCGTCGATCTGGGTGCCGTCTTGCGAGCTTCTGTGGACGGTTTTGACGTTTTGTCTGGCGGCGGCCAAGACTTCGAATCACGTCATTGTGATTCGGTTCTTCGTGGGTTTGGCGGAGTCGATCTTTTACCCAGCCGCGCACACGATTCTGGGCTCGTGGTATAAGCCGTCTGAGTTGGGCAAGAGGGCATGTATTTTTCATGCTTCCTCCGCGGCAGCAAGCATGTTCTCGGGTTATCTGCAGGCTGGCGTGTACAAGGGGCTGAATGGCGTCCATGGTCTCACGGGCTGGAAGTGGCTTTTTGTGAGTGTCCCCAATAAGGCTATGATTGATGGATTGCACTAACACGAGTTTAGATCATGGATGGAATCATCAGCCTGCCAATTTGCATCGCTGGATTCTTCCTGATTCCAGATCTGCCAGAAAACACAAGAGCGTTCTACTTAAATGAGAAGGCAAGCCTATTACCCCTGATTTCTTACAACTAGCAGCAGCTGACAAGATCTTAGGACCGAGAGATGGCACGAAACCGTATGAATGCCGTCGGGCGTGCGCCTCGTACTAAGCTTGGCCTTTCAGCCTTCAAGCGCATCTTCGGTAAGATAGAATCATGCTCTAGCAAATGACTCCGGAAACTAATTCGTTAGGTCGATGGCACGTGTACTACCTCACGATTCTGTACATCATCTTCATCAACATTGGACCTTCCAGCAGTGTCAACCCGTTCTCACTCTGGCTCAAATCCAAGGGAGAGTCTGTCGAGAAGATCGTGAGTCTAGCTTAACACATGTCATGTAGATCCGTCTTGCTAACATCTCAACTCAGAACATCATCCCCACGGCAGCCTCAGCGATCCAACTCGTCCTGACTGTCTCCTTCGCAATTATCTCCGACGCCATTCGTCACCGCGCCAGTATAATGTCGATATCCACCTTTCTCGGAGGTTTCGCTGCTCTGCTGTTGGCAATTTGGAACATCCCAGATGGCCTGAAATGGTTCGCCTTCTTACTTCAGCGTGCTTCCGTGCCATACGGTCCACTGAGCATGAGTTGGGCAAACGAAATCTGCGGCGCCGATGCGGAGGAAAGAGCCATCGTTATTGGAATCATGAACTCATTGGGCTATGCTTTCAATGCGTGGGTGCCGCTCTTGACGTACCCTCAGGTTGACGCGCCCAAGTTCAGGAAGGGCTTTATTTTCAGCACCATTGCGTTTGGAGCGCAGGCAGCTATCACGGCCACCGTGGCGTACCTGTTCAAGAGGGAGAAAAAGAAGACGAAGAGTGAGAGGGATGAAGAAGGAACGGAGGCAACCGGAGATAGGCGTTTGGAATAGACGTGCGTGGACATCACGCGACTAAGACTTTTAGACAGCTCAGATTCTGAGGGTAATAACGCAGCCTGTTCTGCAACATTCTGCTACATACATATAGCCCTCAAACGCACTCACCTACATGTTGTCTCTTCTATGGATCTTAAACCCTTCATAATCTAGGTCATCTTTTCGTCAGAGCTGTAAATGAAGGAAGAGGCTCAACGCCGTAAGCTTTCCATGATATCATTGTCAAACTCAGAAGCGGCTGATCGAAAACGACCCAAAGCGGTATCATGAAACGTGTATGCAACCGAATATAAGGGGTGAAGTGGCGTACAACGGAGAGTAACGCAAGAATCTACATTATCTCTTCGTTCGAGACATAAGTAGGATAGAAAGACTGAGTGCCGTGTGGCATAGCATGGTTATCAATAGTTTTATTGGTTGAGAATGATCTTTAACGGAACCCTGAGGTTAAGTCTATTGGCCACGCTCCGGCTTGTGGCATCTCCCTCACCGTCCATCCCTATCATTTTAGGCTGATGAGATACATGTGCTGAACACACGAGAAGACGTGACGCAAAATAGGGTCACGGGGGCTGGAATCCATTGATCTCCGCTGTAGTCAAGTTACAGAAAGTATCGATTTCCGCTGGCGTCAAATCACTCAAACTAACTCAGGTCATGTCTTCATCGGAGCTGTAGATGGGAGGAAGTGGGGCCGTGCCGTCACCCATATCATACTCCTCAATCTCGATAGCCACATTGGGTTGCGAACGACCTAGAGTGGAACCCTGCGAGGTGCGAGCGGTAGTCTCATGGGCACTCTGACTGGACGCAGGAAAGGTGGCTTCCTGTGAGACCTTATTCCCGCCGCCTCCGCCAACACCACTACCACTAACGCCACCGGGGAGGTCACTACCCTGGGCAAAGGCTTGACCCTCAGCAAATTGGTCGTCCTCGAACTTCGGGAGCTCCTTCATCTGATAGTGGTGGAGATCAGTCATCGTTTTGCCCGCAGCACTAGATCATTATCAGTACGACTGAGCATTTGCTTCATAGGTAATTGAGATGACGAGGGCCAAGGGTAACAACGACGACAGAGACCAACGACGACAGAGACCAACGACGACAGAGACCAACGACGACAGAGACCAACGACGACAGAGACCAACGACGACAGAGACCAACAACGAAACAGACCAACAACGAAACAGACCAGCGATGGCAGAGATCATGGGCGATAGAGACTGGGGACGACAGGGATGGGGATGAAAGAAAGCAGGGACGATAGAGAGCAGAGCTGACAGAAGACCGGGCTGACAGATAACGTGGCCGATAGAGGACATCAGCCAAGGATGAAGACAACAAGCTAGAGGTACAATGAAGACGGTAAAGAGCAAAGGCAAAAAAGGAGAAAAATATAAACAAAGGAGAAGACATCAAAACCCCTATGATGAGTAATGGGATGGCAAGAGTGATGGGGACGCAGTTGGATGTCAGACAATTGGCAGCAATAAAGCCAGAACAAACGGAAATAGTGCTGCAAAAAAAGCCAAAGAAAAAGGTGATACTCACAGTGCCTTAGCAACCTTTCGGTCAGCAGCGCTTTTGTCGCTGAGAGCCTGTCTCTGGGCATCCTTCGCTTTATCGAGCGTTTTGGTCATGCAGTCCAGCTCATGAGGTGTCGCCGTGGGCTTGTTCTCGTCGAGGACTTCGGTGAACAGACGGACCGCCTCATTGGCATGGTGGACGTAGTCGTGGGGTGATCCCGCCAGCAGCAGATGCATCCAGCCTTGGTGGACTGAGCTCAACACGGGCTCCATCAGAAGTTTGGCGGCCAATTCCTCCGCCTCCTCGTGCTTGCCCTGGTTGTTGACTCGCCAAGCGTTCTTGACGCGGAACTCGAGAATAGCTATGTCATGGATCAGTGAGAACACGAATTATCAGTATCAATCGTAATGACTGACCGCTGAGGTTAACAAGCTCGTTCGCGGAAGTCGCGGTCGCGTCGGGGTTGCTGCTAGCTGGCGACATCTTGGTAGTCGCCTTGTCGCAGGATGTGAAGGTGGGCGAGTTGACAGAAGGAAGGAGCTTGTCCAGATTTTGACTTTTGATTATTCTTCCTAGCTTCGTCTAGTTCTGGCTTCTTTAGAGCCGCATCCTCGATTTGTGAATACTTTTCCGTTCCAACATTCCTGCTTCGATTGACCCAGTCGCTCCTGCCTTTCTGGGTTTTTTTTTTTCTTTCTTTTTCCCCCCCATTTTATTCCATCTCACTTCATTTCTCAGATGCTCTCCAGTAAGTACCACGAGGTAACCACGGTGAATCTTGCAACTCCTTTCATCTGTCTCTCTGTTCAGGAAAACGAACCCGTCTTTTGATCCCCAATATCTAGATCCAGCCTGTTACGTCATTGTCAAGATCCCTTAGACCAGACATATTCTCTCCTAACGGCGCAACATGGATTCGATCAGTCGCCAGCAGTCTAAAGTCTGAAGACACTTGCATCCTTGATCAATATCTGAAAACGCTCGCAGAACGCCTTAGCCACATCAATTGACCGCGACTCACCGGTCGAACGCCGCGCGAGTCAGAATACCCTTACGGAACGTTACGATCTCCTGTGAGTGTACCTCCATCTCAAAAGCCATTGGTAAGACGGCCCCCGTGGTAATGTATGGGGCATTGGATATCCTTTCAAAGCATGTTCTCAAATATAAGCCATTAAGGCTAGGTTCAACTTGCCTGTACGAGCCGCTGATCGACGTCAAGACCGGGGAAATAGACTTAATTCCGCGTATCCGCATCAGACGAAAGATGTGCCCCATCAGACGAACCTCTTACACCAAAGCCACTTTACCTAGTCGTGGTTAAATCAAGCCTCTGTTCAACAGAACACACCAGCTCCAATCGCACAGCTACGTACACCTATTCCGAGTCAAGGATCAAAATGCCAAGCCTCTGCGCCGGCTCCTCCGGTCCTAATTCACGCCCGTCGCACACCCCACAACTCGGGTTCCCAACTTTCGGTTTCGCTTTCTCCAATAGGCAACACAACTCCCGAACCATCTAACGCCGCCGCGGGAGGGTCTCCCGCGGGATAGAGACAGGATCAGCCAGCCAACCAACTAACCAAAACGCTCAAGTATAGTAATCAGAATAGACACTAAGGTTATCCAGTCTGTTTCTCGTATATTAACCACGACAACGAGACGACGTTTGTATCAGTTTCCGACGTACGAGTAAGCGCTGTATCCTCCCCCAAAACCTTAATAGACAAGATGACCCATGACGCTGGGTCGATCACAACGTCGAGCGGACTGATTACTTAGTGGATGCCAGTTGATATAAAAGCCTTGACAAGTTCGTCTCAACTACTACTCGCTCAATTCAACTCTATCTAACCGACCCGCACTCACACAACAACACAGCTCCTTTTCGCCATCTCATCCCCAAAAGTCTAGCCCAGCATGCGCTTCAACGTCATCTCCATCGCCATGACCGCCCTGGCCGTCTTCTCTCACGGGGCATACGCCGTAACTTGCCAAAGCACAGCAGACTGCCCCCAAAACTGCGGTGGTTTCGCAGACAACCTGTGCCAGTGAGTTGATTTCACTTTGATAGATTGAGTATCGTGAGGTACAGTCCAAGCTAACGTTGACATCAAAAGTCTGCCGGGTAACTACTGCGAGTGTGTCCCGTACTAAAGCCTGCGCTCGAGTCAGGTCTTGGCAGCATGGCAAGGGCGGACAGGCACGGACGGACAGTTGTCCTGGAATATGCAGTATTTAGATTGAACTTTGCTATCCGGGCGAGTATTGGGTATGGACGACAACAAGGATGACGACGACGATGACGATAGTCGTAAGGACAAGGACGACAGGGAAGAAAGAACTTTCAAAATAAAGAATCTATTGGTATAACCTACGTATCCCCCCTCCCGGTTAGTAAAAGGTATCCGCCCGGGTAGCAAAACTTCAGCTCCTCTGTTTGAAATGCGCCTCTAGCAATGAACGACTCTGGACTGCATCCCACTCCTTGGCCCCCAATCAATTCAACGACATCAGCCACCTCTATGCTAGACAGACTAGACAGAAGGTAACCTCAAGGGTCCTCAGAAGCAGGTACTAGGTAGTCTCGAAAGTGTGTCTCTAAATTAACACGCATCTACACCCGCAACCCGTCACGCGGGGTCGAAGGATGTTGCAACTTCCCCAGGATCTAAATCATTGAATCCTTCTAGCATCCGCATGTCTCGTCTCTTACCGTGTCCTAAGGACCAATCAACGACAACAGGGTAAGCCCAGCCGAGCCACAAGACGAGCCAACGAGAGGGCAGACTTCTCGCCGGACCGAATCACCGCCGCCGAAGCCCGCCCGCTGCCCTCCATACTAAAAGCGCCACACATCTCTCACATCTCATCCTTCCGTCTTGTCTGCTGCGGGCGCAAAGCCGTTGGGCAGGTCCAGGTGGGTTGGTGAGCAGCCATCCTTTCATGGTCGAATCGAGCCACGTGCCAGATGAGTGCAGCGCCCTTTTGCCTGCCGCGCAGCTTCCACACACACCCAAACGAACAAGGCGCTGCGTAAGACCACCATCTCAAGGAATTTGGAGAAGACCCTGGCTCGGAGACCTTGGGGTTCGGCATCTGCTAATTGCGGGCTGGAGCGACAGCGAGCTCTGCATGCCTGCAGTGACACATGCAGGCGTGTTGTGGTCGCTCAGGCAAACCAGACAAGCTTACTCGCCAGTTGTCCCAGCTGTGCCGTCTCTGCATCTGTCACATGACCATCGATGCGGCCCGTTTTCGAGCCTCGAAATGTCAGAGGTCGTAGACAGTCTGCTCGGCCTTGTATGCGTCACCGACATGTCCAGTTACGGCGAGGAGCGACAGGATACACACTGATGTGTGACGACGGAGGATCAGTTGCTTCTCCCAGGACGCGGAACAGGCGAGCCCATCGGGTTGGATTGACTGTTGATCTAGCTGCTCTCACGTCCCGTGACCGGACAACACAAGCGGCATGAGCTCATCTCGGACTCTGTTCATGCCTCAGCCATACTTACATGAGTTACGTTAATTAAGCCACAATCGTACCAGGATGCGAAGAAGAGTGCAGAGCAGAGGTAAATGACCGCTCCTCATGCCCCCTCTCGTTGAACCGAGACCCAAAGTCTGTCGCATCTTGGTTCCAGAGACGAGAACCCGTCAGGCTGAATGGAATTCCGGTATTGGGATCGCACATTGCGTTGCATCGTGTGGTTGGTACGCATGGAGATGAACAGCTGAGGGTGTGCGCAAACATGGGACGAAGAAATTGCTTGGCCAGATCGGTAGGCGCTTGCAGATGAAGGTCTCTGGCCCGTATGACTGGCGTCTAGAAATTTGAGACTGCCAGGGGCCCAAGTGCTCTGGCCTTCTGCTCTGGCCTTCTGCTCTGGCCTTCTGCTCTCCGTCTGCGCAGAATGCGAGTATTTGACATGCCTCCCGTCTCTGGATCTGCGGAAGGCAATCAGCCTGAATTGCTCTCCCTGGCCTGTGGGGAAACCTACCCTAGTCATCAGACGCGGCTCCGTGTTCCCCAACTTTGGTTGGCGGACAATCAGGCCAGTGGCGTTGGCATTGGTCGAGCCACGTCGACTCACCTGAAGGAGTGGCGGGTCCTGTAGTTGGAGTGGATGCAATCATGAGCTGCATTAGCTTGACAGGGTGGTTCGTTTGCTCCGCTGAGCCACGGGCACGACCAAAGAACGATTTTTCAACTTATCAATCAGTAGTTTTGGTGCTGCAGTTCATCTTGTGGGAATAAAAGCGATTGTGGTATTTTGGGTATCGATGCGCCGTATTTTCCTGATGTTTAGCAGTCCGATGTTTGCTGTGCCTCCCTCTTCCCGTCGGCCGAGAAAGCCTTGGGTAGCCGCCTTTGTGTCGTGACAATAGCACACCGTGACTCAGAGAGCGCAGCTCTTCGTCGCCGCGTGTGAAATGAGATCAACTCCTCCTTCCGTTCTGGTTCTTCCTCACCCAAAGACGATGCCGATTTTCATGTCCGCAGCAACTTGCTTCCACAAGCCTGGGCAAGCCTCAGTGCCCACCTGCTCCTTGCCATAGGCCCGCATGTCCATCTTTCGCCACACTTCCTGGACGACAGCCCATGGCTTCTCTGTATTGACTGTCCCCCTCTTACAACCGAACGCTGTGAAAGCTTGGCGCACTAAGCCGCGGTCCCGGCTGCAGACCGCATGGCATGCAGAGAAGAAAAGTGGCCACAGCATGGTGAGCCCGGCTCCACCGTGAGAAACAGATGCCGCGCAATGCCACAGGGCCGCTTGTGCGTGCTTCTGCACTAGATCATGCGATGATGGGTATTCGGAGATGGTGCTGTATAGGTAGACCAGGGCGCTCTGCCTGTATGCAAGCGCTGTACTGGTGGTCCATCTAACGTTGGCAAGTTCCGTCTCGGATGCATCTGCAGGCCCATCAACAACCCGATTGACAAGATTAAAGCCTGGAGGTAGAGTAGGCTTCCATGACTCCAGAGCGTATTCAATGGCCTTGTAAGTGGTCTGATACTCGGTCCGAAGGACAGCAAACTTCGATGCCTGGCCTGTGGCCATGGCACTCTGAAGTTCCCGCTTCATGGCAGTCAATTCCCCCAAGCGATGCAGCGTTGGCCAAAGGTCTTCGGCCATACCCAAGACGGGGTCGACTTCGCTAAAGGTAAAAGGGGGTGGGGAGCTCCCTGGTGAATATGCTCGATTGGCTTTAGGTGCGGCAAATACTGGGGTCGAGCCATTGGTGAGAGCGTTGAGTACGTCGAAATATCGGAAAACCTGCAATCCATTAGTACTGGAAAGTCTAGTGATTCGTGAGACGGACCTGTTCGAAGAACTCAACGCTGACACTCTTCGGCGACGGCATGGCACTAATGATGTGCCATGCCCCCTGAAGGTGATTGTTTGTGATGATTGACAGACTTCGTTGCATAAGCTGCGATAGTCAGTGGCAGTTCACGTCTCAAAGATTTTGCA